AGGGTGGCGAGCAAGGCTTTCAACAAGCCGAAGGAGCAAGACCTTCCCAGGTGCTGCCCTCGTCTCAGGTGCTGTTCCCACCGGGCAGGCAGCGTCTCCTGGCCTCTGGCTCCATGGAGCCCCTGTCCCACTTGCTTCTCTCTCCTGTGGCATGCGTAGTCCCCTGAGCTCTGGTGTCCTTCTCGGCGGGTTTCCAGGGCTGCTGCTGCCGGGCACAGCGGGCCCCACTCGCTGGGTGAGCTGGTGCCTGTTGAGACGGAGGCTTGTGCCCCCAGAAAAGCAGTGATGTGGGAGCTCTCCCGGCTAGTATGGCATGACCTTAGTGTCCGCCGTTCTCCCTCCCAGGTGGGCTGGCCACATAGTGGTGGCGAGCAAGGCCCGGCTTGGCCAGAGGGGGGCGCTACCTGCCCACTTTTATCTCGAGGCCAGTGCGTTTTAAATGTAGCCTGTTCGGGCTGAGTGTCTCGCATAGGCGTTAAAAGTACTCACACGTAGGGCCCAGTCTACTGAAGGTTTCGTCTCAGGTCAGTGGCGTGAGCATCCGTCTTCTGAGCCCTTTAAAAGGTCTCTTACCGCTGGGCTACCTGGGCCGGGGAGTGCAGGCTGGCTTGGCTCGGACCCACTTCCCTTGTTGAAATGGCCTTGACACGCACACACCTGAGCCTGCAGACCAAGCCCGTGGACCCCACAGTGGATGGCGGTGCGCAGGTGCAGCAGGTTGTCAACATCGAGTGTGTGTCGGACTTCACCGAGGCGCCAGTCCTCAACATCCAGTTCAGGTGAGAGCCCAGGTCGGGGACAGGCTGGCCTGCAGGCAGCCATTCGTCCTTGCTCAGCTGCAACACCAGCTACCGAGGGTGGAGGTGGGGGAGAGCGAGTCCAGACCCCGCGGTGCCTGCTGGTGTGTCATCTGGGGCGGGGCCAGCAGGTCATGTGCCCTCAACAGGAATTGAACCAGTGACCTCTTGGCTCCTGGGTGGACACTTAACCGCGGAGTCACACCCACGGGCACGGAGAAGCATATTTTCAAACATCAGACACAGAGAACTGAAGATCGCATGCTTTGTAGAATTGAGGGAAATGGGCACGTTTTCATGAAAAGAGGAAAAACCCGCAACAATTTCAGCTGACTTGGAGGGTGGGCATGGCCTGTTGGAGAAGTGAGGGGTGGACGTCCTTGGGGGGTCGCCCGCAACGCGCGGCCAGAGCAGTGTGTCCACTGAAGGACAGGTGCCCAGGAGCGGGCGTCAGCGGCGCACGGTCCTCTCAGTGACAGTGCACGGCCAGACCGGCCACCCTCCCGTCACACTGCCCCTGGGGACAGGACAGCCCCTCTAGCGGGGTGGACCGATGAGGCGCTGAGGTGGGAGTCCCCCCTTGGACCGCAGCCCTCTGAGCCTGGAGATGGGCAGGCAGGGCGTGGCCCCCGCTGAGTGGCAGCCCTGCCGCCCGCCCGGGGCTCTCCTCAGCACTCTCCTGCTCGCAGGTACGGCGGAACCTTTCAGAATGTGTCCGTCAAGCTGCCCATCACACTCAACAAGTTTTTCCAGCCCACAGAAATGGCCTCCCAGGGTTTCTTCCAGCGCTGGAAGCAGCTGAGCAGGTGAGCCGGCCCCTGTGCGGGGAGGGAGGGGTGGCTGGGCCTGTGGCCTCGGTGGAAAGTCTGACGCTGGTTTGTGTCTCAGTCCCCAGCAGGAGGTGCAGAACATTTTCAAGGCAAAGCACCCAATGGACACAGAAATCACCAAAGCCAAGGTGACGGCCTTGTTCCCGGCGCTCCCGGGGCGGCCCTGTGATCGACCCCAGCCGCAGTGTCCCAGCTCTCCCGTTTCCTTTGCACAGATTATCGGGTTTGGTTCCGCACTCCTGGAAGAGGTCGACCCGAACCCTGCCAATTTTGTGGGAGCTGGGATCATCCACACCAGAACCACCCAGATCGGGTGCTTGCTGCGCTTGGAGCCGAACCTCCAGGCTCAGGTGAGGCCTCCTGAGGACCCGGCTGCCTACACTGCGGTGCTTCGTTGTGTGGTGGCCACAGGGAGATCTGGGTGCCCAGGGGAACCCCTATTCTGCACACGCCATTCCCATCCCACCCGAAAGTTCCACGTGCCCGGGCCGCCAGCTCCGCCTCCCCTCGGGGCAGTGCGGCGGCAGTCCTTCCTGCTGGGACTTTGGGTTGTGATGCCCTGCGCAGGCCTGTGTGCAGCCGGCGGGCGGGACGCAGCGAGGAGTGCGCTCGCAGGCCCAGTGGGACTAGGTGCTGAGCAGCTGCCCCTGCTCCGGGGGCTGAGATTGCCCCCGGCAGCGGCTCCTGTGCGCCGGGCACCTGCCACCTCAGCTCCCGTTAGGCTGCGGCCCGGTGAGATATGCCCGAGGCTCTAGAGCTCTGGGCGCCTTGGGAGGGCCAGGCTGAGCGGGGAGTGCGAGGCGGCTGCCCGGGCTGTGCATGGGCCGTGACCCTGGGCGCCCTGACCTCCTCTCTGTTGCAGATGTACCGGCTCACGCTGCGGACGAGCAAGGAGACCGTCTCCCAGAGACTGTGCGCGCTGCTGTCGGAGCAGTTCTAGCCCCGCGTCTCCTCGCCTCAGCCACTGTCTGCTCAGCCGCGCAGGCCCGCCCGGCCTGCCTCGTCCCTCAGGGTGGACGGGACATCGCAGTGTGAGGAGAGAGGCCGGGCCTGCACCGCAGGCGGCCTGCCAGGTCAGGAGGGCGGCCCTGGGATCCGTTTTTATAGAAATCAGGACAGTTCTGTGGTTAAACCGACAAATTAAAGGGAAACTAGAAGTTTGAATGAAAACGGATAGTTTCTGAAACTTTATCAGACACACTGCCGTGCTGCCCTGCGCTGCTTCTCCCAGGCAGGCAGCAGTCTTCCGTCGTGGGGCTCAGCCTTAAGCAGGCACGCGCCTGTGGGGGGCCTCCAGGGCAGGAGGGGCGTGACGTCCCCATGTGGCTTGGCCCTGTGCGTGGGCCTTGGGGCCGGAGCCCAGAGCACGCCGGCTGCCACGCTGAGCGTGGCTCTCCCCGGGCAGGGTTCGCGGTCTAGACGAGGGACCTGTTCTGCCTCCCACGTGTATCCTGCTGGGCTCGGCTTCCTTCCAGCACAGCGTCCCCACGGGGTCTGCAGCACCCACTGACTGCGCTGGGGAAGGCATGTGGGGGCTCTAGAGGTGACCTCACTCATCTGTGATTGGAGGGTTAAATGTGACCAGCCAAGAACATTCCAGAAGGCAAGCCGGTCTCTTCCCTTTTGGTACCCTGAGGCTGTCAGTGCCATTGTCCCTGGGTCATAGTTGCAGCCAGGCTGCAACCTTGGCTGGCCTGGGCGCAGGAGGGGGTCACCACGCGCCACTCATCACTCGGCCCTGGTGATGGTCACCCTGTCCTGGCCGCCACCCTGCATGTCTGCGTCCTGAGCTGGCCACCCAGGAACTCAGCCAGCTGGGCCTCTGTTCTGCGTGGGGCTGGTGTGCAGAGGGCGGCAGCTCAGCCTGGCAGGTGGCACCTGAGGGCCTAGGAGGAGCCAGGGCTTCGTTGGTTTCCCGGTTTCCTAGCAGGCACTGGGCACCCCACATGAGCCTGTGCCGTGGTGTGGGCCACGGGGAGGCAGAGGCACGGAGGCGCCCTCTGAGTCTGGGGCAGCCACACTGCGGGCACCCCACCAGGTTCCCACACCCTTCGTCAGTGTAGCCCCTGTGTGTGTGCTCTGTGACCCACAGACGCCCGAGTCACCAGCACCCCCGCGTGCGCCTGTGCCCAGGGAGCCTTGGAGGGACCTGAGTGGCCTTTTAGTTTGTAGGGTTAACTGCTGGCATGACCGGCCACAGACGTGACGGTCTTGTGCTTCTGTCCAAGCTGCGGCGGTACGCAGTGCTCCGGCGCTGCCGTGTGGCCCGCCCGCCCGCCCACAGGATTCTCCTGTGTCCGTCTGCGCCCTCCCTGGAGCTACGTCTAGGCTGAGTGCCGCTGTAGGAGTGAGCCACCATGAAGTACACTCCTTCCAGGGGACAGGCAGCACCGGGACCATGACAGGAACATGTGTGTTGTCCCAGGAGGGACGGGACAGCGACGGGAAGGTGGAGGGAAAGCCCCCACGTGCAGCGGGAGGCCCGTCTTGGAGGCCGCGCTGGCCATTGACCCCATGCCGCGGCCGGGCGCCTGCCGGGTGGGTCCGCCTCCAGAGGAGTGGTTGCCAGCCTTTGGGACCTCACGGACCACCAGTTGGCGACCGCTGCTTCGGAGTGTGGCTGCCCGAAGGCGATGTGCCTTCGCGCTGCATGTGGGCTCAGGGAGTATGGTGAGCCTCTGGGTCCTCCTGCTGGGCCCTCGTCCAGCTTGGCTCTCCTCCGGGCAGGACGTGTCGGGTAGTCTGCCGCCTGGAGGCCACGGGTCTAAGGGTTCCTCCTGGGGAACGAGCCTCCAATGCTCACAGACTGGGAGCGGGATCCCACAGCAGGGAGGCTCCCCAAGAGGGTCCTGAGAGAGGGAGGGACCCTGGAGGGGGGCCCAAGGAAGGTGAGAGGGCGCGGGCCTCGTGGGACAGGTGAGGCTGGAGTTCACGGCGCCGGCGGGCATGGAGACAACAAGCAGAGCTCGGGCCTGTGCCTGACCTGGGCCGGTTTATTTGTCCTCTGTTCATGGGGGTTTTCCAAGCACCACGCTGGGACCCTCTCCCCAGGTGAGCAGGGTTTTTGGGCAGGCTGGTACCCTCACTTCCCTTCTGACCGCTCAGCCTTTCCTTGCTGCCTCTTCTTCCCTGTTCATTGGTGCCCTTCCTCGGGCCCGGGTCTGGTTGGGCAGGGTCGGGCAGCTGCCTTCCAAGGCTGGGAGGCAGCGTGGACGACTGGAGGGCGTGTTCTGAAAGGCTTGTGTGGGGTGGGCCAGGGTCTGTGGGACCCCTGCCCAGTAGGCCCTTGGCTTTGAGACCATGCCCAGAAAGGCGCTGCTGGGCACAGCAAGCGGGGGTGGGGTGGGGTGGGGGGTGGGTTGGGAGCGGTGCTTCATCCTCTCGCCAGGAGGGCTGGCCCCAGGTCTCTGCAGCGCCAGAGGCCACATATGCAGTGTTTGAACACCTGCAGCGTGAGTACCAGCTGCTCGCCTGGTGCTCCGGGGTCTGGACACGGCAGTACCAGCTGCTTCTCGTAGTAGCCAAGGGGGTGGCAGCAGCTGCAGAGGGTGTTCACTTCCTTGGTGTGCGCGTTGAACCTAAAGAATCGGCCGAGGGTACATGGTCAAGCCTGCGGCCTCGGGAAAGGATCCCCATTCCTTCCCAACCACTCGGGACAAGGGCGGACAAGGCAGGGGCCTCGGGGTGGGCCTCTGTGGTTGACCTTCCCTGCTGTCGCTGTTGGGGGCCGGGGTCAGCTGCCAGGGTGGTTGAGACGGAGCAGGAGATCCCGCTGGACCTGCGACCACCCCTGGGAGCCTCTGGTGGGTGAGGTGGCTCCAAGCTCGGAGCCCGCAGTAGCTGGAGACGGCCACTGACAGCTCACCTGGCTGAGGAGGCGCACACTCCCTCGCAGCGGGTCACTGTCACGTTGGCTGTGCACCCCTGGTAAGTGACCTCCTCCTCCTGCTCCCGCACCCGGCAGACCTCTGAGAAGTGCAGGCAGTGAGGCGCGGCACAGAGCCAGTGCGGGCCGCACCTCTGTCCTGGTCCTCCGGAGGCAGTGCTGGCGGGCCGCAGGCTCTGGGCCTAGGCCCCTCAAGCCCTCTGTGTGGGCGGGAGTGATGCCCCAGGAACCAGGAGGTGTGAAGACTGGGCCACGGGGGTCGGGCGGCACTACCCTGGGCCCTACCTGTGCTGTCTCTCCTTGTCCGAGCCCCACGGATCTCAGTCCTCACCCCGGGAATAAAACCTGCTGGTCTCCCCCAAGGTCCAGGGCTGTCTTGGGATGAGGCAGAATCCCACGCTGCTCCTCAGGTCCCCCCCCCCCGCCCCCAGCTGATACCTACCTGTGGGCATAGGTGTGTCTGGTTTGCTGGGCTCTGAACCTGCGGGAGGGACGAGGAGAGGACATCAGTGCCACCATGTGGGAGCTTCCTGCAGGGTCTGTGGTCCCTGAGTGGACCCATGAGCTTTGCACGTAGGCCAGCCCGAACCTCCTCTGAGCTCCACAGGTGACAGCAGTGGAAGGCTGCTGAGCAGAGGGTCTCCTCAAAGAAAAGCCAGGACGGCAGGGGGAAGGGATCAATAGGGAAGGCCAAGTGCTCATTCCAGCCACGTGCTGACAGAATGAGGGACTTGGGTGGTTCTTCTTGTGTGTTTGCCAGGAGAGGTTCCTGGAGAGGACGGAGGAGGATGCTGGGGAGGAGGGATGGGGATGCTGGGAGAGGGAGGGGGATGCTGGGGAGCAGAGAGAGGGATGCTGGGGAGGAGGGATAGAGGAACTGACACCTTGTCAAGGAGGGCTGAGAACAGGTCCCAAGGGTGGGGGAACATGAGGCATAGGACAGGACAGAGCAGAGGTATGGGGAAGCTGGTGGGGGACATGAGACCCAGAACTCCCCAAGGCACAGCTTGAGACACCCAGAGCATACACCTGGTCAGAAGCTAAGCTGGCTGAGGGGAAGGCTTCTGGGCAGGAAGGAAAGCTGCCACCTGCCACACAGCAGTAAGCCGGAGCGATGTGAGTAAGGGGGGGGGGGGACAAAGAAGGGAGAGGGTGAAAAGACCAAGTGGCCATCAGGCAATGTCAGGGGTCAAGAAAGGGGGGGGGGGAGGCTCGGTGAGAGTGTCGCAGACTGCTTCCCAGTAGAGAGGCTAGGAGGATGCGGTGCACCAGGGTCATTGGAGAGACTGTGGAGACATCACTTACTGGAGTAGCCGGGCACGGAGGTGAGGAGAGAAGACGTGGAGGACCAGGGAGTAGGGGAGGAGGAGCTTCGGTGCGCAGTGATGGAGCTGGCCAGGAAGACCGTGGTAAGCAGGCCAGTAGTACCAGGATGCTTGGTCGTGAGGTTCGTGGCTGGAGAACTTCGGATGGATGTCACCCCCAGCGTGGATGACATGAGGCTGGGCATGGGGACGCGGGTGGTGAGAGAAGTGGACTGTGAAGTGGTAGAGACTGAACTCATGGGAGCAAAGTGAGAGGTGAAAGGAGTGTGTGGCCAGTTGGGTGTGGCCGTGGCTGTATATGTCCCAGGGCTCCAGGTGCCTCCACCGGTGGTCTTGGGGAACATGGAGGTGCGTGGAGGGGATGTGGTCCCAGAGAGGGCAGGTGCGGATGGGTGTGACAGCAGGGAGGTGGTGGTCTTGGCAGTGCCGGCAGAGTGAGGGGCTTGGGTGGTCCCTCTTGTGGCCGTGGCCCACGGCGGTGTGGAGGGTGAGAGCACTGTGCCCGTGGCAGGGCCGTGTGTCGATGATGGAGAGGAGCCTGTTGGCCTTGCGGTAGAGATGTAAGGAGGGTGGGTGTGTGGTTGTGTTGGGGTGACCACTCTGTGAGAAGTGGCAGTGACAGAGGAGGTGGCAGAGCTGGGGACCTGGGTGGATTGAGTGGTGTTGGATGGAGATGGGGTCGGGAAGGTGGTGGTGGTGCGGAATGATGTCCCTGATGGCGGACCTGTAATGTGGGAGGTGGTGGCCACGGAACCGGTGGGGGCGGAGTGAGAAGTGAAGGGAGTTTGTGGGCCGTTGGTTGTGGCCGTGTCAGTGTGTGGCCCTGGGCTCCCGGTGCCTAGACCGGTGGTCTTGGGGAACATGGAGGTGCGTGGAGGGGATGTGGTCCCAGAGAGGGCAGGTGCGGATGGGTGTGACAGCAGGGAGGTGGTGGTCTTGGCTGTGCCGGCAGAGTGAGGGGCTTGGGTGGTCCCTCTTGTGGCCGTGGCCCACGGCGGTGTGGAGGGTGAGAGCACTGTGCCTGTGGCAGGGTCGTGAGTCGATGATGGAGAGGAGCCTGTTGGCCTTGTGGTAGAGATGTAAGGAAAGGGGGTGTGTGGTTGTGTTGAGGTGACCACTTTGTGAGAAGTGGCAGTGACAGAGGAAGTGGCAGAGCTGGGGACCTGGGTGGATTGAGTGGTGTTGGATGGAGATGGGGTCGGGAAGGTGGTGGTGGTGCGGAATGACGTCCCTGATGGCGGACCTGTAATGTGAGAGGTGGTGGACACGGAACCAGTGGGGGCGGAGTGAGAAGTGAGGGGAGTGTGTGGGCCGTTGGGTGTGGCCGTGGCAGTGTGTGGCCCGGGGCTTCCGGTGCCTCCACCGGTGGTCTTGGGGAACATGGAGGTTCGTGGAGGGGATGTGGTCCCAGAGAGGGCAGGTGCGGATGGGTGTGACAGCAGGGAGGTGGTGGTCTTGGCTGTGCCGGCAGAGTGAGGGGCTTGGGTGGTCCCTCTTGTGGCCGTGGCCCACGGCGGTGTGGAGGGTGAGAGCACTGTGCCCGTGGCAGGGCCGTGTGTCGATGATGGAGAGGAGCCTGTTGGCCTTGCCGTAGAGATGTAAGGAGGGTGGGTGTGTGGTTGTGTTGGGGTGACCACTCTGTGAGAAGTGGCAGTGACAGAGGAGGTGGCAGAGCTGGGGACCTGGGTGGATTGAGTGCTGATGGATGGAGATGGGGTCGGGAAGGTGGTGCTGGTGCGGAATGATGTCCCTGATGGCGGACCTGTAATGTGGGAGGTGGTGGCCACGGAACCAGTGGGGGCGGAGTGAGTAGTGAAGGGAGTTTGTGGGCCGTTGGGTGTGGCCGTGTCAGTGTGTGGCCCTGGGCTCCCGGTGCCTAGACCGGTGGTCTTGGGGAACATGGAGGTGCGTGGAGGGGATGTGGTCCCAGAGAGGGCAGGTGCGGATGGGTGTGACAGCAGGGAGGTGGTGGTCTTGGCTGTGCCGGCAGAGTGAGGGGCTTGGGTGGTCCCTCTTGTGGCCGTGGCCCACGGCGGTGTGGAGGGTGAGAGCACTGTGCCCGTGGCAGGGTCGTGAGTCGATGATGGAGAGGAGCCTGTTGGCATTGTGGTAGAGATGTAAGGAGGGAGGGTGTGTGGTTGTGTAGGGGTGACCACTCTGTGAGAAGTGGCAGTGACAGAGGAGGTGGCAGAGCTGGGGACCTGGGTGGATTGAGTGGTGATGGATGGAGATGGGGTCGGGAAGGTGGTGGTGGTGCGGAATGATGTCCCTGATGGCGGACCTGTAATGTGGGAGGTGGTGGCCACGGAACCGGTGGGGGCGGAGTGAGAAGTGAGGGGAGTGTGTGGGCCGTTGGGTGTGGCCGTGTCAGTGTGTGGCCCTGGGCTCCCGGTGCCTCCACCGGTGGTCTTGGGGAACATGGAGGTTCGTGGAGGGGATGTGGTCCCAGCGAGGGCAGGTGTGGATGGGTGTGACAGCAGGGAGGTGGTGGTCTTGGCTGTGCCGTCAGAGTGAGGGGCTTGGGTGGTCCCTCTTGTGGCCGTGGCCCACGGCGGTGTGGAGGGTGAGAGCACTGTGCCCGTGGCAGGGCCGTGTGTCGATGATGGAGAGGAGCCTGTTGGCCTTGTGGTAGAGATGTAAGGAAAGGGGGTGTGTGGTTGTGTTGGGGTGACCACTCTGTGAGAAGTGGCAGTGACAGAGGAGGTGGCAGAGCTGGGGACCTGGGTGGATTGAGTGGTGTTGGATGAAGATGGGGTCGGGAAGGTGGTGGTGGTGCGGAATGATGTCCCTGATGGCGGACCTGTAATGTGGGAGGTGGTGGCCACGGAACCGGTGGGGGCGGAGTGAGAAGTGAGGGGAGTGTGTGGGCCATTGGGTGTGGCCGTGGCAGTGTGTGGCCCAGGGCTCCCTGTGCCTCCACCAGTGGTCTTGGGGAACGTGGTGCGTGGAGGAAATGTGGTCCCAGAGAGGGCAGGTGCGGATGGGTGTGACAGCAGGGAGGTGGTGGTCTTGGCAGTGCCGGCAGAGTGAGGGGCTTGGGTGGTCCCTCTTGTGGCCGTGGCCCACGGCGGTGTGGAGGGTGAGAGCACTGTGCCCGTGACAGGGCCGTGAGTCGATGATGGAGAGGAGCCTGTTGGCCTTGCGGTAGAGATGTAAGGAGGGAGGGTGTGTGGTTGTGTTGGGGTGACCACTCTGTGAGAAGTGGCAGTGACAGAGGAGGTGGCAGAGCTGGGGACCTGGGTGGATTGAGTGGTGTTGGATGGAGATGGGGTCGGGAAGGTGGTGGTGGTGCGGAATGACGTCCCTGATGGCGGACCTGTAATGTGGGAGGTGGTGGCCACAGAACTAATGGGGGCGGAGTGAGTAGTGAAGGGAGTTTGTGGGCCGTTGGTTGTGGCCGTGTCAGTGTGTGGCCCTGGGCTCCCGGTGCCTAGACCGGTGGTCTTGGGGAACATGGAGGTGCGTAGAGGGGATGTGGTCCCAGAGAGGGCAGGTGCGGATGGGTGTGACAGCAGGGAGGTGGTGGTCTTGGCTGTGCCGGCAGAGTGAGGGGCTTGGGTGGTCCCTCTTGTGGCCGTGGCCCACGGCGGTGTGGAGGGTGAGAGCACTGTGCCTGTGGCAGGGTCGTGAGTCGATGATGGAGAGGAGCCTGTTGGCCTTGTGGTAGAGATGTAAGGAAAGGGGGTGTGTGGTTGTGTTGAGGTGACCACTTTGTGAGAAGTGGCAGTGACAGAGGAAGTGGCAGAGCTGGGGACCTGGGTGGATTGAGTGGTGTTGGATGGAGATGGGGTCGGGAAGGTGGTGGTGGTGCGGAATGACGTCCCTGATGGCGGACCTGTAATGTGAGAGGTGGTGGACACGGAACCAGTGGGGGCGGAGTGAGAAGTGAGGGGAGTGTGTGGGCCGTTGGGTGTGGCCGTGGCAGTGTGTGGCCCGGGGCTTCCGGTGCCTCCACCGGTGGTCTTGGGGAACATGGAGGTTCGTGGAGGGGATGTTGTCCCAGAGAGGGCAGGTGCGGATGGGTGTGACAGCAGGGAGGTGGTGGTCTTGGCTGTGCCGGCAGAGTGAGGGGCTTGGGTGGTCCCTCTTGTGGCCGTGGCCCACGGCGGTGTGGAGGGTGAGAGCACTGTGCCCGTGGCAGGGCCGTGTGTCGATGATGGAGAGGAGCCTGTTGGCCTTGCCGTAGAGATGTAAGGAGGGTGGGTGTGTGGTTGTGTTGGGGTGACCACTCTGTGAGAAGTGGCAGTGACAGAGGAGGTGGCAGAGCTGGGGACCTGGGTGGATTGAGTGGTGATGGATGGAGATGGGGTCGGGAAGGTGGTGGTGGTGCGGAATGATGTCCCTGATGGCGGACCTGTAATGTGGGAGGTGGTGGCCACGGAACCAGTGGGGGCGGAGTGAGTAGTGAAGGGAGTTTGTGGGCCGTTGGGTGTGGCCGTGTCAGTGTGTGGCCCTGGGCTCCCGGTGCCTAGACCGGTGGTCTTGGGGAACATGGAGGTGCGTGGAGGGGATGTGGTCCCAGAGAGGGCAGGTGCGGATGGGTGTGACAGCAGGGAGGTGGTGGTCTTGGCTGTGCCGGCAGAGTGAGGGGCTTGGGTGGTCCCTCTTGTGGCCGTGGCCCACGGCGGTGTGGAGGGTGAGAGCACTGTGCCCGTGGCAGGGTCGTGAGTCGATGATGGAGAGGAGCCTGTTGGCCTTGTGGTAGAGATATAAGGAAAGGGGGTGTGTGGTTGTGTTGAGGTGACCACTCTGTGAGAAGTGGCAGTGACAGAGGAGGTGGCAGAGCTGGGGACCTGGGTGGATTGAGTGGTGTTGGATGGAGATGGGGTTGGGAAGGTGGTGGTGGTGCGGAATGATGTCCCTGATGGCGGACCTGTAATGTGGGAGGTGGTGGCCACGGAACCGGTGGGGGCGGAGTGAGAAGTGAGGGGAGTGTGTGGGCCGTTGGGTGTGGCCGTGTCAGTGTGTGGCCCTGGGCTCCCGGTGCCTCCACCGGTGGTCTTGGGGAACATGGAGGTTCGTGGAGGGGATGTGGTCCCAGCGAGGGCAGGTGTGGATGGGTGTGACAGCAGGGAGGTGGTGGTCTTGGCTGTGCCGTCAGAGTGAGGGGCTTGGGTGGTCCCTCTTGTGGCCGTGGCCCACGGCGGTGTGGAGGGTGAGAGCACTGTGCCCGTGGCAGGGCCGTGAGTCGATGATGGAGAGGAGCCTGTTGGCCTTGCGGTAGAGATGTAAGGAAAGGGGGTGTGTGGTTGTGTTGGGGTGACCACTCTGTGAGAAGTGGCAGTGACAGAGGAGGTGGCAGAGCTGGGGACCTGGGTGGATTGAGTGGTGTTGGATGGAGATGGGGTCGGGAAGGTGGTGGTGGTGCGGAATGATGTCCCTGATGGCGGACCTGTAATGTGGGAGGTGGTGGCCACGGAACCGGTGGGGGCGGAGTGAGAAGTGAGGGGAGTGTGTGGGCCATTGGGTGTGGCCGTGGCAGTGTGTGGCCCAGGGCTCCCTGTGCCTCCACCAGTGGTCTTGGGGAACGTGGTGCGTGGAGGAAATGTGGTCCCAGAGAGGGCAGGTGCGGATGGGTGTGACAGCAGGGAGGTGGTGGTCTTGGCAGTGCCGGCAGAGTGAGGGGCTTGGGTGGTCCCTCTTGTGGCCGTGGCCCACGGCGGTGTGGAGGGTGAGAGCACTGTGCCCGTGACAGGGCCGTGAGTCGATGATGGAGAGTAGCCTGTTGGCCTTGCGGTAGAGATGTAAGGAGGGTGGGTGTGTGGTTGTGTTGGGGTGACCACTCTGTGAGAAGTGGCAGTGACAGAGGAGGTGGCAGAGCTGGGGACCTGGGTGGATTGAGTGGTGTTGGATGGAGATGGGGTCGGGAAGGTGGTGGTGGTGCGGAATGACGTCCCTGATGGCGGACCTGTAATGTGGGAGGTGGTGGCCACAGAACTAATGGGGGCGGAGTGAGTAGTGAAGGGAGTTTGTGGGCCGTTGGTTGTGGCCGTGTCAGTGTGTGGCCCTGGGCTCCCGGTGCCTAGACCGGTGGTCTTGGGGAACATGGAGGTGCGTGGAGGGGATGTGGTCCCAGAGAGGGCAGGTGCGGATGGGTGTGACAGCAGGGAGGTGGTGGTCTTGGCTGTGCCGGCAGAGTGAGGGGCTTGGGTGGTCCCTCTTGTGGCCGTGGCCCACGGCGGTGTGGTGGGTGAGAGCACTGTGCCCGTGACAGGGCCGTGTGTCGAGGATGGAGAGGAGCCTGTTGGCCTTGCGGTAGAGATGTAAGGAAAGGGGGTGTGTGGTTGTGTTGGGGTGACCACTCTGTGAGAAGTGGCAGTGACAGAGGAGGTGGCAGAGCTGGGGACCTGGGTGGATTGAGTGGTGATGGATGGAGATGGGGTCGGGAAGGTGGTGGTGGTGCGGAATGATGTCCCTGATGGCGGACCTGTAATGTGGGAGGTGGTGGCCACGGAACCGGTGGGGGCGGAGTGAGAAGTGAGGGGAGTGTGTGAGCCGTTGGGTGTGGCCGTGTCAGTGTGTGGCCCTGGGCTCCCGGTGCCTCCACCGGTGGTCTTGGGGAACATGGAGGTTCGTGGAGGGGATGTGGTCCCAGCGAGGGCAGGTGTGGATGGGTGTGACAGCAGGGAGTTGGTGGTCTTGGCTGTGCCGGCAGAGTGAGGGGCTTGGGTGGTCCCTCTTGTGGCCGTGGCCCACGGCGGTGTGGAGGGTGAGAGCACTGTGCCCGTGGCAGGGCCGTGTGTCGATGATGGAGAGGAGCCTGTTGGCCTTGCGGTAGAGATGTAAGGAAAGGGGGTGTGTGGTTGTGTAGGGGTGACCACTCTGTGAGAAGTGGCAGTGACAGAGGAGGTGGCAGAGCTGGGGACCTGGGTGGATTGAGTGGTGTTGGATGGAGATGGGGTCGGGAAGGTGGTGGTGGTGCGGAATGATGTCCCTGATGGCGGACCTGTAATGTGGGAGGTGGTGGACACGGAACCAGTGTGGGCGGAGTGAGAAGTGAGGGGAGTGTGTGGCCCGGTGGGTGTGGCCCAGGTTGACCTGGTCTCTGGCCTTGTGTGTCCTGTGCTGAGGCTGGAGGTGCTCCCTGGTGATCCTATGGTGGTTCCTTCGGGTTGGTGCGGTGTCGAGTGGCCTGTGGAAAGTATGACCCATTAATTGGTAGTTGTGTCATCTGTGCCCGGGATTTGGTCTTCCACCTGCTGCTGCTGATTCTCTCCCGCCAGGCTTCCCCTGCACCTAGCTGTCCCTTGTTTTCCTGGCTCTGCTTTTTGGTTCTAGCGTTTGTGTTCCTCTTAGGCCCCTCTCTTTCCCCCTCACTCAGCGTGGCTGTGATGGGCTTCTGGTACTAATGGGCTCCTTCCTGTGAGGATCTTTCTGGAATTTTGACATGCGGCCCTGATTTCAGACCTGTTCACTGTCCTCTAAACCCCTTGCATCCCCAGGGCCCTGTCCTCCCCTGGCGTGGGGGCAGCCGTGGTGGGCGGTTGTGTCGGCACTGTGGCAGGGAGAGTTGCAGAGAGCACGTGGTTAGCTGTAGGCTCAGGCTGGTGCTGGGCTGGCTGCCCTGCGGCCCCCCTATTTGTCTGAGGCGTTCCCTCCAGGGCTCTGTGGCCTGCTTGTATACGCGGCTCCGCAGTCCGTACTGGGCGCCGGAGCCCCTGTGCTGTCTCCCCACTGTGGGGACCTGTGCGGGGTAGCCTTACCTTGGGGGGACCCTGTGGCGAGTCCTGGCGTGGTTGGCATTGGCCAGGCCGCCGTGGTGCGCACTGTGGACCGAGCTGTGGATTGCGTGGCTGTGCTGAGCAGGGATGTGGTGGGCTGCGTGGTAGCCCGAGTCACAGTAGGTCCTGTGGCTGTTGACCCGGGAGTGGCTGTGGGAGCCGGCCCTGACGTGGCTCGCGTGGTGATGGCCGAGGTCGTTCGAGGTGACTCTGCAGGCAACAGGGCCCCGCACATCCCACTGGACCACCTGCCCTCCGTGCCCCAGGAGCCTGGCCCGGGGTCGCACTGAGCCCCCCGAGAAGGGCGTGTGCTTCCCCCTGGCCGACACTCATGTCCTTCCTCAGCCGACCTTGACTCGGGGCCTCAGTGCTTTTCCAGTGGCCACAGGCTCACTGGGCCGCTGGCTGGTCCCTCACCTGCCCTTGCTAGCAGGACCCTGACATGTCCCTCAGAGTCCCTGGGCTGGGGGGCTGGCCTGTGCTCCCTGCGCCCACTGGCCCCACATGCTTCTCAGTGACAGGCCAGGCAGCTGCGATCCGCCGCCCCCCCCCCACCGCTGCTTGTCCTTCAGTCCCGCTTCTGTGCTGAGCATCTGCTGCCCCCCCCCAGGGGCCTCACCTCCCGAGGAGACGGTGGGTTCTGGCTGCGTGGTCGGGGCTGTCCCTGTCTGTGCGGAGGAGGGGGCGGCGGAGCTGAGGGGCCCCGTGGTTCCGGGGGTGGCTGTGACGTTGGGGGTGGCCGAGGTAGGCCTGGCTTCTGTGGAGGGCGAGCCTGAGCGAGGCAGAAGGGCTGTGACTGTGGGCGCAAGCTTGGGAGCAGCCCCCCCTCTTGGCTGCTGAGCCATGCAGCCCCGCCCCCGGTGGGCCAGACAGGAGGCACAGGGTGGGAAGGCCTGTGCCCCGCTGAGGGCAGCATCCTTCCCTTTGGCCTGGCTGTGACAGTGGCCGTCCGGCCAGGAGCCATGCTTTCCATGCCCCTCCCCTCTGCTGTCCTGGTCAGCGCCGCTTGTCCCCGCCATGTGGGGCAGCCCAGGACAGCCCAGGTGCACCCCAGCCTTGCCCACATGCCAGCCAGCGGCCGCAGGGATGGGCACAGGCTGGGCTGACGGTATCCAGGGACAAGCCCAGGGAAAGCCTGCTTCACCTTGGCACCTAGTGAGTGCGCAATCACCTGTGGTGGGCGGCGACGGCGTGGTGGGCAGCACTGCAAGAGGAAGCGAGGTCAGTGCAGTCGCCACGTGCTGCCCCTCCCGGTCCCCCCTCCGTGGGTGTCCCTAGGCAGGTCCCGCTTCTCAGTCCTCCCCGCAGGTCTTCTCTTCTCCCAGCACCACTGCCGAACCGAACCGTGGTGATGCCTAGCAGCCGGGGCGCTGTCCAGCACCCACCTGTGGTAGCTCCAGGCCAGCTGCCACCCACATACCCAGTAGGCTGGCAGAGCCCGGGCCTGGGTTGCCCTGCAGTTGGGGGCTGGGTGTGGGTTTGTCAGCATTTGGGGAGGGAAGCCTGATGGTTTTCCCTTGGTGTTTGCTGTCTGGGGCGTGGGGGTCCCAGCACCTCAGGGGCACAGCTGGGGAACAGGGTGCTGGAGAAGTGGCCAGAGGTTTGTGCAGGGGTCTGCTGTGGGGGCTGGGTGGGCATGGGGGCTGGGCCTGAGCTTACTGCACTGCACGCACGTCCCCTTGTCCTGGTCGAAGTACTCATCCTGGGAGCAGTTGTAGCAGCCTAGGGGCGGGGCCGAGAGAGGCAGCCTCAGCCCGAGCCCCTCTTCAGGAGGCGTGGTTCCCGCCCTCTGTCCCCAGCCACTCCTGGCCTCTCCACCCAACCGCAGAGGCAGGTACCCTCTTGTCCCCGTCCCCAGCCACCCTGCACTGTGCCTGTCCCCGTTCCCCGGCTCCAAGCTGGGCCCTCGTCCACCATCCTGTCGTCTGGCCCAACCTCGCCCTCTCCTCGCCCATACCTTCCATGTTGGTGTATGGAAGGCTCTGCAGCTGCTGGGGGCAGAGGCACGGCTGGTAGTGCCACGTGCAGTTGGTCTCCTGGGCGTACTGGTACTGGCCGTCGTCCGCCCGCGTGTGGGAGTTGTAGAAGTCGCAGTAGATGGCTGGAAGGATGGGTGGCCGTGAGCCCCCCGCACGGGCCTGGGAGGGCACAGCCTGCTGCCTACCGGGAGAGGTGCTGGGGCCCCGGCGGCCCCGGTGGGGGCAGGATACTCACGGCAGAAGTCGGGGCCCCTCCAGTCCACGCACACGCCCTTGTCCAGGCAGGCCTTGGCGTAGGCGGCCACGGCGTCGCAGAGACACTCACAGTTCCCACTCATGTCGCACCCACAGGTGTCGCGCACGCAGGCCTCGTAGTAGGGCTGGCGGTACACCTGCGGGGGCGGCCCTCAGTGTCTGCTGTCCGCCCGCCCGCCCAGCCTGCCCCGCGCGCAGCTCACCTGGCCGTGGCAGGCGGCGAAGGTCTGGCTGTTGATGATGCTGCACTTGCGCTCGGCCCAGGCTTGGTGGAAGGCGTTGAGGCTGCAGGGGTCCACCGGGAGCCTGGCGTCTCCGCACAGCGGGCTCTCCTTCCACGAGTTCACAAACTCCAGCTCGCTGGACACCACGTACTTGCTGCGCGTCTCAAAGTCGTCCTTCATGTTCCCGTTGAAGTTGCCGCACAAGCCGCACAGGGGGTCCTGCGGGGGCTGGTGTAAGGCGGGCAGAGGGGCGGCGGCGCTGTCCCGCCCCGGCGACCTGGGCAGTGGCGCGTGGTACCTGCGAGGCTCGCGAGATCTTGAGGGAGACGGCCATGTGCTTGTTCCAGTTAACCGTCAGGTTGTAGCTGCTGCCGATGGTGACGTCCACTATCAGGTGCAGGGAGTCGGCCTTGACCCGGAAGTACACCTGGGCGTCTGTCCCGCTGACCGTGTAGTTCCCGTCCGCCAGCACGATGGACAAGCCCTGTGGGGCAGGGCTGTTACCGGGCTGCCAGCCCCAAGCCTGGGCGGCTGCTGAGTGCCACCAGCTCTGCTCCCACCCGTGCACTCCTGCCGGTGCCGTTAGGGACACGGCCGGACGGCGCCTGCTGAGGGCCAGGTCTGGGCTGGGGCCTGTCCTCTCGAGCCTGCCTTCGGCGAGAGGTTCCAGAACGTCATGGACACTGAGCCGAGGACTGAGCCAGGTTTCTGGGAGACTCCCCACCCCACGTCCAGCAACAGGACCCTGCTGCCCGCTGTGTGGACGAGGAAGCAGGGGCAGCAAGCGCTGGTGGCACAGAGCGGCTCAAACCTGGCGCTGGGTGGCTGCCTTGAGGGGACACCCACCAGCCAACTCACCCCTAGGGACATCCTGATGGCCCGGGAGCAGGTGACCCCCTGTTTCCCACACACGACGTTCTCCGTCAGGATCTTGAAGGTGGGCCGGGAGTCATCGGTGCCGCAGCCATCCTGTGGGGAGGGGGCGCTGAGGAGGAGCCACCAGGAGCCGAGTCCTCCCAGGGCCTCCTCGTGGCTCCGCGGCCCCTCCCCTCCAGGGCTTCACCGTGGCCAGGATGTACTCGCAGCTGCCCTCGAACACGAAGCGCTGCCCGTCGAAGGTGACCACGTGGCCCTCGCCATAGAGCGTGCAGGTGGACGAGCAGTGGGCGCTCTGCTGGCACGTCCACTTTCCACTCGAGCAGATGCTGCCAGGAGCAGAGAGAGTGGGTTCTGAGAAACCCGGCCGCACCCACCCTGCAGGGGGCTGACTGCCCAGCCCCACGGACCTGCAGACGGCCTGTGCTGGGCCTTCGGGGCTGGCTTACCAGGCCTTACAGTCGGTGTTTAGCTCGGCGCCCCGGGGGTAGGAGACCCCCCCAAACTCGCACGGGCACTCCTCGGGGGGCACGCACTGCCCGCTGGCGTTCTCGTAGAGCCCCTCGGCGCAGACGCAGCCGGGCTCGCACTTGATGGGCATCTGCAGGGTGGAGGTCAGCAGCCCCTGGGAGGGTGGCCCTGTGGACACTGCCCCTGCGCTCCTCCCAGACCCCTCCTGCGCCACCTGCTGGGGCCTTCCTCCCTCCCTCAGGAAAGGTCCCTCCATGCCTCATGCTGGCCTATTGTACCCCTCCCCCTCCCCAAGTTGGGGGCCCCAGCCCACCTCCCTCAGGGAACCCCCCAGACTGAGCACACTGCCCTCCAGCTGCAGGGCCTCCCACGCCTCCATGGACAGGGTTGGGGGCAGAGCCCCTCCTGAGGATTCTGGGCTTCCGCCCATGGCCCAGAGCGGCTGGGGGAGACCTGTCCTCGCCCTCCCCTGCCTTACACAAGGGATGCCCGTAGCCAGCATCTGGCATGTGGGCGCACAGGCCGCCCCAAACTTGTTCCTTGAGGATTGGCTGCAGGATTGGTACGTCTTGGAGGCCGAGCAGGATGCTGCAGGGAAGCGGGAAGGGGGACGGCTGGTGAGGCGGGCTCCGCGGAGGCCAGGTCCCCACGCGGCCCAGGTCGCTGCCCCGCTACGTACCGAGGAGCATCAGCTGCTGCCCAGGGCAGCTCAGCCGCCCGTTGGAACAGTAGCTGCAAGAGAAGCCGTGTGAGTGGGTGGCCGGCCCGGGGCGCGGCTGCAGGGGGCGGGGCTGCCACCCGGGACCCTCACGCACCAGATGTCGCCCTCGACCACAGTGGACTGGCCGGCCAGGATGAGCTTGTTGTCCACGAGGCAGGGGCACTGGGCCTTGCGCACGCACTCGGCCCTGTGGTTGAGGTAGGTGCCCTCGGGGCAGTTGCAGCCTTCCATGGGCACGGCGCTGGGGTGGCACTCGGCGGCGTGGTCGGACAGGGAGAGGCAGGTGCGGCCGCAGGCCCGGCTGTCGTAGCTGTAGGTCTGGTTGCCCGTGCAGGGGATGGCTGCGGGGAGTCCGGCGTCAGGATGGCCGGGCAGAGCTCGGCCCAACCCGGTCACAGCCCCTCCCTCCGCAGGACCCCCGGCTCCCGCCGCCCCTGCCGCCCGGCAGCACGCACTGCAGTTGTCGACGCTGCTCCTCCAGCCCCTGAGCAGGACGCCCTTGGAGGCGCAGGTGTGGGCGTAGTCCCCCAGCGCGGAGCAGATGTGCAGGAAGGTCTCCTCGTAGTTGCAGGCCTGGTACACGCACCTCTGCGGGCAGACAGCAGCGTAGACGCCCGCCATCCACACCCTGTCCCCGACGTGCCCCGCCCCGCAGCCCTCCTGGCCGCGTGCGAGCCCCGCCTACCCTGTAGAAGGGCTTGGGGTCCACCACGGCGTGGCACCTCTCGAAGATGGCGCTCTTATTCATCAGCACCGCACAGTGGGTCTCCGCGCACACCTCTGCGGCGACAGGCCCCGTGAGCCCCCGCGCCCCGCCTGGTCTCCCGCCCGCCCCAGCCCTCGGTGGCACTCACTGTTGAGCTGGCTCATGGAGCAGGGGTCGGTCTCCCGCTGCATGGCGGCCGGGCAGTTCCCTGCCCGCCAGGAGTCCACGAACAGCGTGGCCGTGCCCTCGGGGATGCCCGTGCTGGTCATGAAGTCGTCTGTCGTGTCCCCGTTGAAGTTGCCGCAGAGCCCTGAGCCAGCAGGCCATGAGGGTGGGCGTCCCGCGGCCCCGTCCGGCCCTGCGGCCCCTAACCATGCCCCGGGCAGGAGGCCAGCACTGGCCGCACCCCTGGGGGATGGTCCAGGCCTGTGGGGCCCCCCCGGGACAGGCCAGGCGGGCACTCACCGCGGGTCTGGCCTCTGAACCGCGGCCCCACGGTGATGTAGGCCTGGAACATGGGCTGCAGCTGCACCACCAGGTCCAGCCCGAAGGTGGTGGCCATCTGCAGGTGGGTGGACGTCTGCCTGAAGACCGTGATGTTGCCTGCGGGGCAGAGGCTCAGCAGGCGGCGGCACTGGGCTCCGCCCCCGGGGTGCAGGCAGGGGCTGCCACCTACCCATCTTGTATGGCAGCGACTTGGCCTCTTCGTTGGCGACCACCTGATCCTGGGTAATCAGGATCTTGTCCTGGAGGGGGGGCGCTGAGTCACTGGGGGCCGGGACGGGTGGCTGGGCCGCGGCAGGGACCGTGGCCTTGGGCTGGGCGGGCGCGGTGGCGGCAGACGGGGCGGCCTTACCTGGCTGTTCATGTAGATGAGGGTGACCAAGGAGGTCTCCGAATGCGAGTACCCAGACTTGTCGTAGGCGGCCAAGAGGGTGCCCCCGTCTGGGAGCTGGGGGCTCTAGGGAGGACAGGAAGCACAGAGGTCAGGGGGCTGGTGGGGACCCCTCCTGGCGGGACCCCTTATGAGGCCCCCACCCCGTGGGGACCCCTCGTGGCGGGCCTCCCACCTGGAGGAGGATGTAGGTGCAGGTGCCGTGGAAGCGGTAGGGCCTGGCGTCGAACGTGGTCACGAAGGAGCCGCCTTCCAGGGCGCAGGGCTGGGGGCAGGGCCGCTCTTCGCACTTCCAGCGCCCCATGGTGCACTGGCTGGGGGCGGGAGGGGGCCCAGAGTGGCGGGGGCGCCCCAGGGTGTTCTGGGCCAGCAGAGGAGGCTGCCCCAGACCCTGGAGCCCCCACGTCCCCCCATGCCCCTGTCCTCACCAGGAGCGGCAGGCGTCAGCAGTGACCGCCCCGGGGGCGTAGGCCACACCGCTGAGCGTGCAGGGGCACTGGGCGACGGGCACGCAGGTGAGGTTTTTGGAAACGTCATCAAGAACCAGACCTGCAGGCGGGAGCTTCCTGGGGCTGTGTATGGAGACCCCGCCCCTCCTGGGGCCTCCCGGCCTGTGCCCCAGGAGGGCTTGTCCCCCTGCACACCCCCAGTCCCGTGCGGGCTGCACGCTCAGCCTTCTGCCCCCTCGTGCCGACAGGCCCCCGCCCAGGGCCCACCTCCTCCCAGTGGCCGCCTGGGCCCACCCCCACGGGGATACCCCTCTCTGCCCCGTGGGGTAGCCCATGTGGCCGTGAGCACGTAAGGGGCTGCAGGGGTCGTGGTCCCAGGGAGCCATGTGGGGCCACATGCTGGGTGGGCGGGGGCTCATCGGGAGGGTCCGAGGGGAGAGGCGCGCCACCTTCCGGGCAGAAGCAGCCGAAGGTGCAGGAGTGGGCGCAGCTGTGCTGTGGGTGGGAGCAGGTCTTGACGCAGGCCTCGCCGCACTCCTGGTACACCTGGTTGGCCGGGCACTGGCCCAGCGCTGTGTGCACATGGGCCTGGTGAGCAGGCGGGGAGCCCTGGGCCCGCCCCCCAGCCCCTGCCCCCGGGCCTCCTGTCCCCGGCCCTCCCCGCAGCCTCCAGGACTCACAGCAGAGGCCGGGCCTCCGCCAGCGGCTGACGGGCTGGCCGGCGAGGCTGCAGTGGTGCGAGTACGCGGAGAGCGTGGCGCAGGCGCAGCTCTGCCGGCCCGGCTCGGCACAGGCGGCCAGGTCGGCCTGGCAGCTCTGCGCGAAGGGCTCCTTGGGTAGGTCGCACTCGGGCGCCACCAGGGCCAGCAGCTGGGCGCAGGTCCGGGCCTGGGCGGAGGGCCGTGGGTCACGGGGAGAAGCTGCGCCCCCACCCCGTGCTTTCACCTGGAAGGCTGCGCGGGCCCCGCCCTGACATACGTGCTCTGCCTGCGGGACCCGGGGGCCCGGGACGGCCTCGTGGACGCAGATCTCGTTGGGGTCGTCCAGCTTCTGGAGGGCGGCGTACTTGTGGGGCTCCAGGTGCGTGCCTGCGGGGGGCGGGCGCGGGTCAGCACCCGGGCTGGGCGCAGGGGGCCCCGCCCGCCCCCACCTACCGTCCTCGCTCAGAAACTCGTTGGTCTTTTCGCCGTCAAAGTTCCCGCAGAGCCCGCACATCCTGCCCTTGTGCTTGTCCTCCACCAGGACCTGTGGGGAGGGCGGGGGTCGGCACACGGGTGAGCAGGGAGGGCGGGGCTCCCGGGGCTGGGGACCCCCCTCCGATGCCTCACCCAGTGGGTTGTGACCGCCCTCCCTCCTGGGGCCTCTATACTTGTGGATGGTCCTCACTCCCAAATGGGGAAACTGAGCCTCCAGCAAAGTCCAGGCCCATCCGGGCTCCTGACTGGTGTCGGCCGAGCCGAGAGCTGGGGTCGGTCAGGGCCCCCCCTCCGGGGGCAGCCCCCAGCCCAGCCCACCAGCACCTGCACAGGTGCAGCCCCCACTGCGTCCTCACCGTGAGGTGGGCACCGGGGCCCCACAGCACCACCAGCTCCAGCTCCAGCTGCTTGGCCACCAGCCGCATGCTCTGGCCGAAGGGAGTGATCTGCAGCCCGTTGCCAGTGTAGGGCAGGCTGACGGCTCTGCAGGGGGAGCGGTCAGCGGCTGCCCTCCACCCTGGCCATTCCCTCGGCCCTGTCGCCACCCGGCCCCGGCCCTGGTCCCCGACCAACCCCACGTCCTTGATGGAGATGGCTCCCTGCTGCACCGTGACCACCGAGGCCCCCAGCTCCACGATGATCCGGGAGATGTTCCCGCCGGGCTCTCGCCGCAGCTGGACGCTGAAGGTGGGGGAGGAGGCGTCCTTGCAGATGGCCGCGAAGACGTAGTTGCAGGTCCCCTCGAAGTCATACACGTGGCCGTCGAAGGTGGAGAAGTGGCCGGACCCCCACGTGGAGCACCAGCCCCGGCCGGCCGCTGTGGAGGGAGCCGTGGGATCGGGTTCTGGGTTCCCATGCTCAAGATCTCCCAAGTTTCAGGCCCCCCGAGCCTCACGGGAGAGCCAGCTGCTGCCAGCGGCCCCGCCCCCTAGGGGCCCCCAGCACAAGCTGGGCTCCTAGGCCCCTGTGGCTGGATGTCCCTGTGGAAAGTCCAGACCACGGCCCCCTGTGGTCCTTACCTGGCTGTGGGGAGTCTTTCAGCCCCTGGGGTCCCAGGTGGGCAAAGGAGGTGTCATCCAGACCTGCGTGGACAGGGCCCATGTCAGTGCTCCAGGGCACAGCCTGCCCGGGGACTCAGCCTGGCTGAGAGCATGCCCAGGGCTGGGCAGCCACAGTGCTGGCACCAGGCCTGAGCCCATCGCTGGGCCCTCCATGCCCCTGTCTCCCGTTCGGAGCTCACTCCTGCACTTGCTCACTGGCTCACCAGTTCCGCCCCTGCACGCAGTGAGCACCTGCTGTGGGCTTCCCCTGCTGGGTGCAGCAGACACCGCGGCACGCAGCCCCTGTTCCCGAGGCCTCCACACGCACACACGCACACGCACACGCACACGCGCACACACGGGCACGGGCAGTGAGCAGGGCCGGAGGGCTGCGAGGATGGGAGATCCTGTGGCCGGGGGCTAGGCCTCAGAGTGGGTGGATCCTCCACCCTGGACACTAGCCCCTCTGGTGCCCTCTGGCCCTGGGGCATCTGCTGGTCTGCCCACCAGGCTCCCAAAGCTGCACCCGGAGGCGCCAGGCCCTCAGGTCGGCAGGAGGGCAGAGCCTGTGGGCCCGCTGCCTCTGGGCAGGTCGGGGTGGCCGGACTCCTGGGCTTCTGCCCTGACCTCACTGGAGGGGGTGGGGAGGCGAGGGGGCGCCCTGAGCTCAGAGGGGCAGGGGAGAGTGGGGAGGAGCGCGGCCAGGGGGCTCTGTGGGATGGGATCCCTCTCGGCTGTCCCCGTTTCCCCTCAGCCCTCCCGGCCTCCCGCTGGAGTCCCCCTGGCTTTGCAGGCCCTCAGGGAGCCTGGGGCCCGAGAAGGGGCAGAGTTGCCCCAGACGTGCCTGGGCCCGAGGTGACTGGGGCCGGAGAAGTGCCTGGTGACATGGGTCACAGTGGCCGCAGGGGCAGGAAGGTGACGGTGCTCAGGGCAGCCGAGCGGGACCTCCCCTCCCCGCAGCCCGCCCCTGCCCCTGCCCTGCCCCCGCTCCACCCATCCTGGGCTGGAAGCAGCTCCAGGCGGTTCCTGCCTGCCCCCCCCCCCAACCCTATCGCCACGCTGGTCCCTGTCCACAGTGCGTCTCGGGGCGATGCCTGCCCCACGGCCGTGGGGTCCCGGCTGCGGAGGGAGGCACAGAGGCCGGGGGGGGGGGGGCAGTGGCCCCGGGGCGGCCCTGCCTTGAGGTTGTGATTAGGTGGGTCGGTGTCTCCGCTCATGTCTCAGGCCCCCCTGGTGCTGCCGCCTCCAGCCCCGCCACATCCTGCCCATCACTGGCTGGGCCTCGGGCTCTGCCTTGGCCGTCCCCCACCCCATTTTGGCCGCAGGGGCTCCTTTGAAGACGCTCAGGAGGCCGGCTGTGCTTCCCACCACGTCAGGGCAGGCACTGACCCCTGGCCGGAGCCGCGGGGCCGGCCTGGCCCCTCAGCCCAGCCCGGCCCGGCCATGCGGTGCGAGCACTCGCCGTCCTGCACGCTTGGCGGCCCCCCGCCCCTGCCTGACCTCGCTCGGCACTGACCCGGCTGGGCCTTTCCCAGCCCCCCAGTCTCAGCCCCCAGGCCCCAGCTTCGGACCTCCTGCCTGGTCTAGAGGGCAGGACCTGCCTCCATCCTGCCCAGGCCAGCGGGCAGGTGGTGCTGAGGCCCCAGACCTGCCCCGCCCTCTGCTGCTCACACAGCCTGGACCCCTTGCCAGACCCACAGCCCCTGTCCCCTGCCCAGGGCTCCAGGGCTCCTCCCTCCTCCCCCAGGTTCTGGGTCCGGGTCCGGGCCCCAGGGCCCGGGAGGGGCCCACGGAGGTGGGCTCAGCGGGGCGGGGGTCCTGAGGGCTCAGAGCAGCCCTTACAGGAAAGGTGGTACCTGGAGGGGGAGGGCTTAGGGGACGGAGCGGGGCGGCCCAGGGGACCTACTGGGCTGGTGTCTGCAGCCACCCCTGCACCTGCGCCCACTCCCTGCTCCCCCGAGGCTGGGGGGGCCTGGGGCCACCAGGGAGGGGCCTGCGGGCCCAGGGCTGAGCAGAGGGGAGGGAGCCCTGGGCCCAGCCACCTGGGCTCCGTGGGCAGAGGAGCACGGGCCTGGAGCTGGTTGGTGAGGAGGGCTGGGGCACGAGCGGTGCCAGTGGGCAGAAGGGCCGGGCTTGAGAGGGTAAGGAGAGGGAAGGGGACCCTGCCCCCCCGGGGGGGAATGGTGGGACGGTGGGGTCATGGCGGCCACGTGAGGGGGAGATGGGGAACCGAGGCCCATTGCTCGCAGCCAGGACCCACCTGGATGTTGTGACCCCAGTGGCCACGGGCCTGCATCACTGTGGCTGCCCCTGGGGACCTGTGCCCTCAGGACCCGTGGGGGGTGGGCGGTGCCAGCTGAGGGCTGAGCCTGAGCCCTGTCCACCCAGCTCGGGCCTGGCGCTCCAGCTTCGGAGAACACTGCCTGTCCCCGGGGCCCCTGCCCGTCCTCTCTGGCACCCTCTCACCCTTGCTGGCTGGGGTGACCAGGCCTTGGCCAGAGCAAGGAGGGGCCTCGCACCCACATCCCGGTGGCCAGCCCGCTCTGGCCGAGTCCGGAGGCGAGAGGCCGGAGGCCCCCAGGCCCGGGACAGACACCTGCGCCCCCATCCCTGCGCCCACTCACCGGCGCCGAGCAGGGCTCCCCAACACCACAGCAGCAGCAGCCGAGGGCCCAGCATGGTGGTGGAGAAGCGGCCTCCGCAGGACCCGGCCTCCCGCCACGGACACCAGGCAGACTCACTGCCCCTGTGCTCGGAGCAGCGGGCTCCGACGCCTTATATAGGGGCCCAGCCCCGCCGGGCCGCTCGCCCCTCCTCCGTGCGGCCAAACAGGATCCCGGGCGCTGCTTTATCAGGCCTCGGGCTTCTCGGAAGGTTCTGGTGCGGGCAGCGGCCCGTTATCGCGCACTTCCGCGCGGGGGCTGGCACGCGTCCCGTTGGCTCCAGGCGGGCATTGCCAGGGGCCGGTCTGAGGGCCGGTTCCGGGGGGCCCGTCCGGGGGGCACAGGTCCGGGGTCAGCGTGGGCACCGTCAGCCGCAGCCCAGGAGCACAGCTCGGGGGTCTGTTCCACTCTCACCTGGACCCCAGCATCCCCAAAGGCACCCCATGCTGGGCTGCAGCCCCCACCCGGGAAAGGACCGCCCGTGAGAGGGCGGCCTCTGGGTCCCTGGGGTCCTGGGTGCGAGGCCATCATGGTGGGCGGCGGCCCGGGGCTCAGGACAGGGCCGGGAGGTCCTGGAGCTGACGCCACAGGCTGTGCCCCGGTCCCTCCTCTGCCCGCCTCCGGCCTCAGGTTCTGGGAGGCACAGGGGGACATGCTGCATCCCAGGGCCCCCTTCTGCTTCCTGCCCCACAGCTCTGAGGGCAGGGGCAGGGGCAGGAGGCTTGGGCTGCCCACCGGGGGGTGCTTGTGGGGATGTGCCAGCCTTGGGGTGCGGCTCCCACAGCCCCTGGGGGAGGGCGTGGCTCCTGGGCCAGCGTCTCGGGGCGCATGGGCAGCGGGGCCGTGGGCCTGGCCATGAGGGGTCCTGGGTGAAGGTCATGGCCAGGTGAGTGAGGGCCAGGGACGAGGGTGTTTGGGATTCTCCAAGTTGGGGAGCTCTCCAGGCAGCTGGCCCCGAGCGGACCCCATATGAGACTCCGGGTGTGGCTCAGGAGCTTCCTCTTTCCTGAGGGGCGTCTGGCCCCTGGAGACCTGGGCCTGGAGCCTCGCTCCTTCCACTGGGGCCTGTCTGGGCGCGGGCCAGCCCCAGCGGCCTCCTCCGGGGGCTGGACTGTGAGTCCCAGGCCCCCGGGCCCAGCCTCCCCAGGCCGGTGGAGGCGGTGGCAGGGGCACAGGGACCACCCGGTCACTGGTTTAATAGGAAGTTGCTCTACAGGAGCCGGCTCGCCAGCTGGGAGCTGCGGTCCTTTCTCCTGGGGCTCCAGGGGCCGGAGCTGTGCCCCACGTGCGCCCCAACAGGGGGCCGCAGGGCTGGCGGAGGGGCCGGGCCTCCACGGCTCCTCAGGGGCGGTGCCGAAGGGGCCCTGGCTGGGTGCTGACCGTCTGTCCAGGCTCCGCGGAGGGGCCACAGGGCAAGGGGGCCTTCCCTCAGCCTCAGCCTGTTCTCGGGTCCTGGCACCGGGAGGGCGGAGCTGAGGGAGGGGCTGGGACACTCCTGTCACCGCAGGGGCTTCTGGCAGGTGGGAGTCCCTACGTTGGGGTCCCCAGTGTCACCCCAGCAGTTTGAGGGACACAGACATGACCCCGGGGGTGGGGTTTGGATATCACCTGGACAAGGATGCTTGAGCACGTATGTAGGTGTGTGTCAGGTGTGACTTTGTGCACCTGTGTTGTGTGTGTGCACGTGCTATGAGCACGTGTGTCTGTGTTCCATGTGCTGTGTCACCATGTGCACATGACTGTTATATGTGCGCCACACGTGTCCATGCATGTCTGTGTTGTGTGTGCAGACATGTGCAGTGTGAACGTGTGCACCTGTGCCAGTGCTGTATATGTGACGCGTGTGTACATGTGTATGCGCACACATGCACACATGAGTGTGCATGCACATATGTGGACATGTACGTCTGCTGTGTGTATAGGTATGTGAGCATGTGCATGTATCTGTTGTGCATATTTGGTGTGTGCTGTGTGTGAATGTGCACATGTGCCTGTGCTGTATGTGTGCTGTATATGTGGGGATGTGCCTGTGTGGCGTGTGTACGTACACGTGTGCATGCACGCGCCTGGCATGTGTGAGAGGTGGCTGGAGTTTCCTGGAAACATTGGCTGTGTGTTCCAGGATCCGTGACCGCAGGCTGTGTGGCTTGAGCGCGGGGGTTGGTGGGTGCTCCAGGCGGGGGCATCACGGGAAATCTCGGGGACGGCGTGTTTGTGGCTGACCCCGGAGCAAACAGCGGGCGATAAGCATGTGTGTGGCCATTGTTCCCAGCGATAAGCAGGTCCCGTTGGCCGCCGGGGAGCAGAGCCCGCGGACAAGGGGCGATTGTGTGCCTCAGGCCCCCCTCGGACCCCTGCCCTCCCCGCCCCCCGTCAGCGTGGCTGGCCCTGAGCGCTCCGGGCCCGGGCCAGGCAGGCTGTGCGTCAGGGAGCCCCGTGGGCATGAGGCCTGGCCTGCCCAGCCTCCGAGTCCAGGGCCCAGGGGCAGGGCCCCCACGCTGCCTCCTGCTCCCTGGGGGGCACTGCCCGCCCCGCCCCTGCACCCCTCCCCTGGGTCTGAGGCAGTTAAGGCACCGATGTCCCCCCAGCAGGGCCTTCTGGGGGCCTGGTTTGCTGCCTCTGGTTGTGGAGGTGCCAGAGCACCCACAGGCCCGCCCACCCCGCACCCACCTGTCCATGAGAGGCTTCCCACCCAGGGGTGGCCACACCACCCGCGGTCACAGCGGAGGCTGAGAGCAGTGCTCCGGGGTCAGGCTAAGGTCTCGACAGCCACGGCCTTGGTGCGCCCTGGCCTGGCCTGGCCGGCCGATGCGGCAGCCGCCCGGGGCCGGTGCTGACCAGCCGGCTGGCCTACGTGGCGGCAGGGCTCCATTGCCGAGCCGGTGGGGACCCCTACCTCAGCCCCTGCCCTCCCTGGGCTCGGGCCCCCGCAGGGCAGCCTGTGCTCGCTGCCCTCGCCCCACCGGGAGGGCCACCCCAGGGTGGAGCATCTCAGGGCAGTGAGGGCGCCGCTCTCCAGGCACCGGGCGGTCCCTGTGCCCCTGCCACCGCCTCCACCGGCCTGTGGCCTCGGTGTCCACTGCTGGGCCCCACGGGAGCACACAGACCGGAGCCAGTGTCAGGAGGGGCCTCCCCAGGAGCTGTGGGCGCCCGCCCAGGCAGCCCTGGGTGTGTAAGGGGGGCTGGCAGGGCTCAGCTGGGGACGGAGGTGGGGTCCGTGCCCAGGACGGGCCGGCCGGAAGCTTCAGCCCCCAGCTCAGCCCCGCCCTGCAGTGGTTCCACCTCTCCAGGCGCCTCCGACCGGGCCGGCGGCCCGGCTCACCGGCTCCATGCCCGGCTGTGGCCTGCAGCCCTGGCTTGTCCCTGCCTGAGGGGAGGGTCCCGAAGGCCCCCCCCCCCAGCCCAAATGTCCCGACCACGCTGAGCGGCCCCGCCCCCCGCCCCCCGCCGGGCCGAAAAGCAAACAGATAAGGTGGCCGGGCGGGCGGGCAGGCGGGCGGGCAGGCAGGCGGGCGGGTTATCAGCTCCCTGGCCTCCGGGCGCAGGGTGTCCGCCCGGGGAGCGAGTGTTTGTTCTCTGTGGTGGCCTGTGGGGGGCCTGTGGGGGGGCCTGTGGGGGGGGCCTGTGGGGGGCCTGTCGGGGGGCTTGTGGGGGGTTGGCGGGGGCCTGTGGGGGGTCTGTGGGGGAGTTGTGGGGGGGCCTGTGGGGGGCCTGTGGGGGCCAGTGGGGGGGTTTGAGGGGGGCTTGGGGAGTGGGGGGGCCTGTGGGGAGTTTGAGGGGGGGCCTGGGGAGTGGGGTGCCTGTGGGGGTTTGAGGGGGGCTTGGGGAGTGGGGGGGCCTGTGGGGGGTTTGAGAGGGGGCCTAGGAAGTGGGGGGGTCTGTGGGGGCTTGAGGGGGGGCTTGGGGAGTGGGGGGGTCTGTGGGGGTTTGAGGGGGGCCTGGGGAGTGGGGGGGCCTGTGGGTGTTTGAGGGGGGCTTGGGGAGTGGGGGGCCTGTGGGGGGTTTGAGGGGGGCTTGGGGAGTGGGGGGGCCTGTGGGGGGTTTGAGGGGGGCCTGGGGAGTGGGGGGGCCTGTGGGGGGTTTGAGGGGGGGCCTGGGGAGTGGGGGGGCCTGTGGGGGGTTTGAGGGGGGGCTTGGGGAGTGGGGGGGCCTGTGGGGAGTTTGAGGGGGGGCCTGGGGAGTGGGGGGGCCTGTGGGGGGTTTGAGGGGGGGCTTGGGGAGTGGGGGGGCTGGCCCCATCTGAGACTTGGTGGCTGGTTGCCAGGTGGGGTGCCCCTGCCCCCGAGTCTGACGGTGGTGGGGTGGGTGGGGTGACGGGTGCCGGCGGCTGGGCGGCCCCCCCTCGCTGTGGCCTCGGGGACGAGGTGGGCGGGGCTCTGGGTTTTCTCTCAGGACACGGTCCCACCACAGCCCCTCCCCACCTCACCCTCTAACCATCACTTTGGGGTGAGGGTTTCCACATCTGATCTCGGGGACACAAACATGCAGTCCCCAGCGGGGTGACAAGCTGTGGGGACATCCCCGTTTGGGAGGACCCCCCGAGGCGCAGGCTGGGGGTCTCTGTGGAAAGGCGTGGCTCAGAGCTGGCGGCCGAGCAGCCCGGCGGCTTCCTGGAGGAGGCGGGCTGGGGAGGGGCAGCCGGAGGCCTGGGGCCTCGGGCGGGAGCAGAGCCGGCGGGTGTCCTGGGCTAGAGGGATGGGATGGGAAGAAGTGGGTAAACTGAGGACAGAGGATGGGGAGAGGGGCCTGCACCAAGGAGCGAGGGCAGGGCGGGTGTCAGGGTCCTGGGGGATGCTGGCTCCCACCTGCTGTGGCCTGTCCACAGCCGAGGTCCTGGGCTCCTCAGCTCCCAGTGGCCAGGTCCTCGTGGTCACCGATGAGGGCGCAGCACACGGACCTGGACAGGGCGGTTTCCGGCCGCTCACGTGGAGGCTGGCCGGGAGCCTGGGAGCCTGAGGTCGGTGTCAGGAGGCAGCTGCCAGGGCCGATCTCGTAGGGCTGGAGGCCAAGGCCCCC